TGAATCCCTATCAGGCCTCTCACACCCTCCTTGCCACTAATTTTGGATCACTTGTTGTTCCTTGCCCCTGGGTTGGTCAACACCACCTCCTTTCCCCCGCCTCCCCCTCTCCCATGTCCCCCCGGAACCATCGGTCCCATTGTTTTCTCCTCCAGATTGTTCATCCAGCCCATCTTATCTCGATAGACCTGCAGAGATAATAATATGCACCAGAAAACAAGGCATAGCAAGACAAAGTGACAAAAGAGAACATAACGATGACAACAAGAAAAGAAAACCAATGACCCAGAAAAGAATAATTGAAAAAAAGAAAAACCTATAGATCAAGGTCTGTTTTTTGACCTCTATCTAGGGGTGTCCTCCAGTCAATTCCGATGGGGTGCCATGCTCTGGCCCCAGTCTATTCTTTACACTCCCTTGGGAGCTCCCTGCTCTGCTCCCCGTCGCTCTGCCACACACCTTTAGTGTTTTGCCTTGGTGTCGTGGGGTCAGACCCGGCCATTCCTCACACTGAGTCTTCAGTGTTGTCCCCTGTAGGGCTATGGGTCAGCGAGCGATGTCGTGTCTCATAGTGGGATCAGCCATATGGTCCACCTTGTGCATTGGCTGTTTTGAGCGGGGATATTATCCTCCAGGCCTGCTGGGCCAGGATGTGCTCCACTCTCTCTTCCTCCTCATTCATTTGCTCCCGTGTGCTCTGATCAGACATGTCCCTCCCCCCGAACTGCAGCTTCAGTGCTGTCCTCTAAATTCTTCTGAGGGGAGGGGCAGTTGTCCACGTAGCTGGTATGGGGGCTGAGCGGTCAGACCTCTCCACTGGCTCTCCTCTCCATGCCGGCATGCGGCATTCGCATCCCGGAACACCGGATTTAAGTCTGGTCCCTCTTTCCCTGTGGAGACACAAACAATACCCTCCCTTTGGGTGGGTCAGTGCCCTATTCCCCCTCCACACATTTTTTTTTCCCCTTTCCTCCCCACCCCTCCCTTTTTAGTTGGCTAGCATATGTACCCCTAGATTTGTTCTGGCCCCTGCCATACTACCTGGACCTCACCCCTGGAGTGTTTGTATACAGTAGCTTTTTCCCTGTGCCCCTTTTGCATTCAAAACGGCATTTTAAAGTCAGGTGAGGAGGCTTACATAGTCACCCTGATTCGAGCCAACAGTTCTAGTGCCTACTCTTCCATCTTCTTTCCTCAAACCGCTGGACAACCCCCGATGCTGCATGCTCTGGGTCCAGTCCTGTAACTCCTTCCACTCTGGTAGAGCTCAGGAACCCAGGTGGCACCGTGGCTGAAGCGCATAGCTGTCAACCCACGACCCAGTTAGAACCAGCCGTTCTTCGGGAGGAAGCTGAGGCTGTCTGCTGCTATAAGCATTTAGAGCCCCGGAAAGCCCCCAGGACCATTCCACACTCTCCTCCAGGGTCCCTGTGAGTCAGAAGAGATTTGTAACCAGTGGGTTTTTTGGTCCCGTTTAGTTCTGGTTGGTTCATTGTGCCCAATTCTATCTTCCGAAGTTTTTCCTTCGCAGGCACAATTCAAATATGTTAATGCACCATGCCATGTATTTCATGCTGATCCATACTGTAAGGCCCATGAAAGTGCAGTATATCAGTTTACAGAGGCTGGACCACACAAAAACATAAGCATTAGTCTGGCTGCTTCACAGCACTTTATACAGCACAGTGGTCAGATGATTGTTATAAATTACCAAACAAAGTTGCAAAAATAAAACGGCATCTTATCCAGAGAAATGGGTCAAACGAACTTGTGATTAGTCAGAGCTTGAAAATGTTTCCATATCTGTTAGAGCTGATTTAAAACAACTGAGTTAGGCAGCAATGGAATACTATGTATACCCAGGGAGACATTACACACACACTACCCACATTTTAATTAAAATAGAGTTTTATTAGCTTCTCTTTTGATATAAACATGAGAAGAAAAACCACGTAAAGTTGTAGCATTCTTTCTAAATAAAACGTTGGTCAATAATCGAGACTCTAAGCTCCAAATCCATAGACAATGTTGAGGTGGTAGATTGTAATATTGTATACACCGTTATCACTTATGCCTCTGTCCTTTCAAAGTGCCGGAACCTGCAGCACTCAGGGTAATGTGAAGTTTCACTATCAAGAACATATTCCGGCTATGCATACAAGCAACAGTCCTGGGATGCACCCTTGAGAAGGTAGGAGTAACAGATTTTATAGAGCCCAGTAATTGTTTTTGAATACTTTAAATTTAGGTGACAAATTGGTCCTGATTTCCTAAAATTACTTATTCCCTGGCCTTTCAAGCCTGAAGATAGGGTTCCTAAGATTTGTAACAGGGGAAGAACACAGTTTCACATGTTAAAGTAAAAAAGCTGTTTCATCGCATCTACAACTGTTAAGGTACAGTTTCTTTTTTGACATGTCAATTAGGCTGTTCTTCATGATCATTCTTGACTCAACTGAGGAAGAGAAACTTTCGATATCAAAGCCGATGAACAGTGCACAGCCCTGCAGAAGCGGTCACTGCAAACAGGCTGGGGGGGCGCGTCTATGGGGCCTGAGGCTCCTCCCCTGCCCAGTGCAGCTGTGTTCCACATCCAGGGCAGAATAAATGCTGCGCACTCACCAAACGTCATTTGAAAGTTTAAGTTTCTTTTCAAGTTAGTACTTTGGTATTTTGAAAATTAAGCTTTTAATTTTCTGTTTCAGTTACTGTTTACCATGTTTCAAAGGGGCCTGAAACCAAGAATTCACATAAGTACAAAAGAAACATAAGCTTTCAAACACGATTTTAAAGATGTGATGGCATTTATACTGCACTGTTACAATTAACACGGGTCTTCTCTACATGTTTGCTGATGGCTTGTTCCCTCCAAGAGGTATTTGAGGGAAGCACCACTCTGCCATGTTTTATCTTTATTTATTGATTTTTTCTGCCATGTTTTAAAACATGTTCCTGTTGAGAGTCAAGGAAAACAAACCAGCAAAGCACTTTTACAGGAATACCTCTGGGCGGAGGGGAGAGCAGTGGCAAACAAGCGTAAAAGCTGAGTGTTATTGGTGTAAAAGGATGGTACTGCTGCTTGGGGCTCTCAGGCCAACTTTATTCAAGTTTGAAAATGTACTTTCAGAACACCTCGTTATTTCATGGCCTGCTTTTTATACCTGGACTACCATACCATGTTGGCTGGAATTACGAAAATATCTTTTTTAACAATTTAACAGGTATGAGTAAAATGATCAGGAAAGAAGAAGCACCATTAGAGTTCACAAGAAAGGCAGCTCCGAACCAAATGAAAGAGATAATCAGTAATTAATACTTTGCATGTTTATGATCCTAAACATGCGGAGATGTTAAGAAGTGGTGTGTGTAAAGGACCTGAATGACTGGAAGGTGGGCCCCTTGAAGCCTTTGGTTTAGGCGGTTGCCAGTGGTGACTAGCAGCTTACAGGAAACAGTAGGAGAAGAGCCTTCCACACCTAACACTGCTACAGTCGGCTTTCTACGTGGCTTTTTCAGTTGTGAAGAGTCCCGTGTCTTCATAGTAATACTGCATCAGTTTTAAAGGCATATGCAGCAATCTCTGGGGTGGGGTCAAAGGGTACAATAAAAATAGGATAAACATAAAAGTTGTATCATTAGTGTCTTTAAAGCCTAAAAATTTAACAATTAAAAAACCGCACTCTCCACAGCTATCGGCCTACACAGTAAGCGAATATCTGTGTGGGTGGCGAGCGGATTTTGTCACTCTGCTGACACTGAAAAGGACAGGAGAGAGCGTTGAACTGGCAAGGTCCCGTTCTTCCTATGACACGTAGTCCTCGCTGTCCTGGAGTCTCTCAGATGCGCTGTCTTCCCTTTAGATGAAAATACTATCTTTGCTGGTTTTCGAGCAGGAGCGATGATATGTCTCCAGTCCTTGCATAAAAGGAGCTCATTAAGAGAGGATGGCGTTAGAGCGCTGAATGCCAATGAAATTGTCGGCACTGAAAGACCTTCGGATAGCAGCTCTGCATAAGTCTTTGTATTTGTCTTCACACAATCTGGAAATGGCCTAGGAAAGGCACCAAAGAGAACACAGGTACAAGAATTAAAAAAATAAAAAGGTAATTTCAACCTTAGGCACACAGTCATGTGTCCAGACTCTTTCCCTTGGTTCAGACACCACTTCTTTGGGTACCCGAGGTCTCTGCTGCCGTGTTGCTGAGCTGCTACTTCCTGCCAACTAGCTCAAGTACAAAGAGTAATACCCTTTGAGGCCTGTGACTAGATTTCCGGACCAAGAGGGTACTTGCTTTATTAATTTAAAATTAGGCTTCTAAAGATGTAGCTGCTGCTAAAAGCAGTATCATCTATGACCAAGGCACCTGTTTCAGTGAGCATAATGCACATGTACTTGTGTGCCAAATCAGTATTTATTCCGTGATTATTCCATCCAATTTCTCACTTGTTATTTTACCCACCAAGGACATTTTAATGAGTCAGGTATACGCAGAAGTCTTGTTCCAAACCCACTGCCCTGTGTGGGTTATGTGAATTCATAGCAACCCTGTAAGACAGAAATGAAATGTGCGCACGGTTCTCAAGGCTGTCAATCTGAATGGAAGCAGAACGCCACATCTTGCCCTTAAGGAGCTCCTGGTGGGTTCAGACAGACAACCTTCTGGTTAGCAACAGAGCACATCAGCCACGGGGCCATTGGGCACTCTTTTAAGCTCTGTGGGAGGGTCTGAGAAGTCTAATGATTCAAGCATCAGAAGGTGCTATTATACTTGCAAACTAAAACATTACTCTATAGTACCACCAAAGCATCATCAAAAGGTCAAGTGAAAGTACACAAGGGGAACTTCAAAAAGTTCTTGGAAGATTCTGTTGTCTTTTCATCCATTTGTCTATTAACCTTTCGAAGCCATCCTGTATGTGTACTTTTCAGCTGCATATTTTGCTGTATATTCACCTACAACCAGAAGTCCTAACTACTACTTTGTCTCATTAGCAATCAGTGTTTCCATGAACACCCCACAGAATGTCTACACCTAGTGCTCGAAACCTCCCCATCATGCGTCCTCCCTGCTCAACCCCCAGTGCTACGTCTAACAGACTCACGGGGCTGAATTGTGTTATGCAGAGTGAATGAACACTGACACGCAGCTGCAAACCAAGTTAGCTAATACAAGGCAGTAAGTAAATATGGATGTAGGTGTAATCAGGGACATAACCCTAAGATATCATTCATGTACAGTTATGTGAAGGCTCAAGAGAGAAGCCATTAAAAAACAAACTGAGTTTCATTAAAGATATTTTGAATTATGACCATAAGGCAGTAGTTGTACTTTGGGGGGAGGGGGGGAAGTGGACCTTAAAAGACCCAGGAAATAGGCTAAAGGGTCAATAAGCTCTTTGATATTAATTTAAAAGCACTCCGTTTGCCAAATCACTGCTTAATATGACGCAGCCTCAGAAGTTGGTATTGGTGCCTGACACAAAACCTCGCTCAGTGATTTCACAGGCTTACCTCTAGGTTCTGTGCTCGTTCTTTGCTAAGAGGAGCAAAGAGAAAATTCAAGTTGTTGTCATCGGCTAAGGAGCGAAGGTCAAAGTAGTATTTGGCATAAACACTAGCAGGTACATTAATATTAAACTGAAGTAGCTCCAAGAAATGCCTTTCCATCTCATTCCTGGAGGAGGGAGGACACAACAAACCAGCAAACAATTTTAGTCAATTGGACTCTCTTCAAAAAATCATTGTGAGCTAGCTAATAGGTTGGCTCTAAATTCTGTTTTGAAAGAAATCAGGCAACTTTGCTAGATGAATACACTAATGTTCAAACAAGGCTGGCTGCAATCCCACTACAGGGAGGCTGGGGCGAGGAGGAGAGGTGAGGCCCCTCATTCGCAGAGCTGCTGCCTCAGGCCCATTCTTCAGAGTTCCATTAGTGTGGCAGTCCAGTCAGGCGAGGCCTCCCTCGCTCCCTCACAGCCCCACTACAGTGAGCAGATGAAAGGAGTGGTGGGTGCTGTTTATTAGCTCTGAAGAACTTGTAGACATTTTTCCTGGGCTGATAACAGGAAGGGGCTTATTGAAGTCGAGACACGCCAACAAAAGGAGTGGGCATATCACCACGGCAACAAATGGATCCATCGAGAGCCAGTGCCATTATCTCCCAGGGGAAAAACTCTTGAGGCAACAAGGATTCATCTCCAATAAATAAATAAATAAATAAGCCAGAGGCATTCCCCGGGAAGGGAATCCCCTCCCCCTTCCTCAGTTCAAGGGCTATCAAGGGCAGAATGCAAGTTCCTGTTCACCTTAATGCTCCTACGGTGAGACACTGTCCCTGCGAGAGAAGCTTCTGGAAGGGAGAGAGGAATCAGCTCGCTGTAAAATGACTAACAGTCTCTCTCCGAGCGACAGTCAGCCTCACCTGATGAAACCCAGAGAAGCTGTGTACCCACCGCCCCTCCCACATCCAAGTGGACACACACGTGCAGGGCCTACATGAATAAAATGGGACAGGACACTGTTGGGAGCAGGCTTTTGGTACATAAACTTGGCAAATGTTTAAATTAAAGCAAGAAAGACATTGGAACGAATCTGACCCCTTTTCACAGTAATCACATTAGAGACTTACTGATTAAAAATGAGAAATACCTAAGCCAACATGAGAGGCTTATTATTCTTGGTCTTGAAGTTTTAAAATCCCATCCACTGAAAAGGCTAACAGATGCGGAACATACTCCTGAACAGGGCAGTCAGGAGATGAGCATGGTGGTGAACTTAACATTCAACTAGCTTACTTCCGAGATTAATTTCCTGTTCATATCAGCCATGTGCCTATAGAAATGTAAATCAGATGAGGTTTTGATAACCTGCTAATTAGCACCTAATATACTCCAGGAATAAATACACTCCACTCACCCTTTTCTAGTGTCTCCACTGAATCCATTCGAGCTGTGTGGAAACAGTGCCTCAGTGGCTCACCAGGCCCGCTCACAGAGGCTCAACTACCAGCAGCTCGGGGGCCTGAGGCCTCCTGCCTGCCTGGGTGTTTCCACGGGCCAGAGCTGGCCGGAACACAGACCACTCCCAGGCACAGCATATTTTCTGAATTGCAGCTCTGCCTAATTTTACACAACCCTTTTGAAGGGAAATACATTCTACTACAGCATGTGTAAACTTTTTAATAAAAATCATACCTTGATTTTCAAAAAATTTCAGTTTAGACTTAGAATAAGATCATTACAAATAGTAATCAGCAGGATGCGACAAAACAAATGAACAGTAAGCACTCTGCTATAAAGCTTTCTCATTCTCAAAGATCATAACTAGAGTAACCGGTTTTAAGCACAGGGCCTGATGGATGTTTATACACAAAACACCCTGTTTCGAACTACTCTCGTCATTAGTACCAAACCCCTCGAGTTCCTATCTGTGAACACCTGCCCCTTGCCCTGCATGCTCTGCTGCTGTAGCCTTGAGCTAAAGATTCTAGCCAGGTTAGTTGTAGGTTTTGAGAAACACTAGGTCCCGTCGAAGCAGAGCTGGCATTCCTTCTTTCAAGGGACCAGAGTTTGAAGACTGATGACAATATCAGTATCAGCCACTTGAGCTTCTGCAATTTTCTAGTCCTTCCATTTGTTGCAAATCCATTAAGGAGCTCACCTTTGCCACCAAACCCTTCTCTATGATGGCTGCCAGCAATAGGACCCTGGACCACGGTGTGCACACCTTATCAAAGTGTGTTCCACGCCCCCCCAACTGCCACCTCAACAGCCATCTTCTGCTTTGTGCTGAGTGAGAAGCATTCCCAGTTCCCTGGTGAATACAGTTTGCTTTTCCAAATAACAGCCTTATCTAGAATGAGGGTCTTGCTACTGCCTATCATGATGTTGACCGTATGTTGCTCAATATAATCAAAGGTGTCCTTTCATATTTTCTTAAATGCCACCCCCACAAAGCCATTTTCACTCTCAAGGAGGCAACTGAGAGTCTTTGCTGGCAAGCTCTCTGGTTCGCCCTACCAACCCCCGTCAGGCCGCCTAGAGCCCTCTGGTGGCCAGGTCAGCAGCCCTCAGGGAAGGACTCGTGGGCATGCAGCTAAGTAGTTCCCTTACTAATCCAGACCCCCTGCATTTTCACAGTCAGTTCAAGACCACCCTCCTCACACACCACCCTCAAGTGTCCCAGCAGACTCTCTCTCATGCGATCAGGCCCAGGTGAGGGCCCCATGGTACTTCTCAGACAGCCCCAGAGGAAAGAGTTTCCAAGCCATCAGAGCGATTTCTAACACACACAACACTGCTGAGGGGAGGGCTCAGGGCAGAAGGGATCTGAAGCTCTTCTGTGTGGCACCACGGAACATCTGCTTACAACATGGTTTCTACCACAACAGATCTTCCGTCAGGAAAAACGGTGAAAGGGTAGGGGTGGGATCGGCAAAAGCAAATTCTCCCTGTGTGACTTGGGTCGAAACTAAGCTCTCAGCAGTCCAGGGGCCAACAAATTCCTTAACAGCGGTCAGACACTTAATTCAAAGGCCAGAGGTGTGCCTCCTGAACATGGATGGAGACTGCTGGACAGCATTAGAACAACCATAATCACGGTAGTTGCTCAGATAGTTACATTTATAAAATGTTTGCTAGCAACTACCAGAAAAGAGACATTTTAATTTGTCACAAGCAGATTACTGCAATAATAACACCTCACGAACTACCAATTCATGGTAGGAAATAGGGAGTGTTACATCCTAGCTGGAGGGAACGAAGTATGCCGTTGTTTTATGCCTTCCCATTCCTCTGCACAACGTTATCTTTAAAAATATTTATTAAGACGCAAACATTACGGGAACAAATGAGATACTGGACAATGATTAGAAAGTTCACCAAAACCTTACACACTCACATGTCCTCAACTGTAATGTCCTTGAGGATCTGGCAGTAGTCCACATTCCACACAGCCTGATCGTCCCAAACCTTGGAGGCAAGAAGAATGGCTCCCAAAACAATTCTTTTCCAGTTAGTGGGACAAATGTCGATCTCAGCATAAGTTAAAAGCCTTTCTAAGTAAACCTGCAAAAGTAGAGCACTGGTCTTTGATTTTAGTTCAGTTTAAGTGTCGTGATAAGAACTATTATGATAGTATCTGGTTTTGGACTAGAAAATGCCTTTGATTCATACGTTCTACAGAGACATTGCTTACCCAGCCAGAACAAGAGGCCGGATCCCCCTTAAAGTCAAGCTCCAGTTTCCTACTCTGCTCCTGACAGCACACTTTCACAGTGACTGTGACCCAACCTTCAGCACTACCTTGAGGATACAAATGAGCAGTCAGGAGCGCCTCCCAGTGGTCACTGTGCAGCACAGCACACAGAATGCTCTATCGGCCCCTACTTTATACACCTCTATTACTACTTCGGGACAGTGTGTTTCCTTGTTGACATCAATCTGTTGATGAAAACACCGTGACAAACCCACCAAGCTGCTCCTGGGACTTCTTGTATCAAACTTCTATTCTTACCGAGAGCGGGGGTGGGGGTGGGGGTGAAGGTCACAGTTAAGATTACACAGGTAAACTATGGGTTGTTGTTTTTTTAACCTCAAAGAGGGGTCTGCCAAAGAATATATATGCTATTTGACCTCTTCATATACAGACGGAAGAGAATAGGTTAGACTGTAAAGTATGGTTACTACCTGAAGGCTGTCAGATGGACAGAGAGTAATTTGGACATGACATGCTGTAGACTCAGTGCTCTCCTTTCAAGTATCCTCAGAAGCACGTCAGACGGGAACCCCTCGGCTTTCTGCCCCTCCCCCCCTCCAATGGCCAGCTTGTGATGTGCTCACTCATTTCCACCACGTGCCCTCCTGTCAGAGAAGCAGTCTTTCTTTAAAAGCTACTTGACCCCACCCATGCTCACCTGTACAGAATTGTCTAAGACTCTGTCAGATTTTCTGTTATGTGTCAAGTTGCACCCCACACAGGCCCTAGAATGTTCCTCGCATTTTGTTCACAGTACCAAGTCCCAAAATCAGTTTCTCCTCCCCCATGCTTGCCTTCATTTCCGTTAGCCCACCCACCAACTGCACCATCATCACTGAGCCTCCTCCCCCAAGGTCCTCGGTGCCTCCACACAGACAAAGCACTGTTCTCCACTCCCACCCTGATAAGCCACACCCTAGCTGCTGGAGCACCAAACCTACATGAGTCACTCTTTCCCAATCTGTTAGCAATGCCCGTTAACTTACCGTCAACGAGAATACGACTACTACTTATTCTACGTCACCGTCTACCACCCCTCACGGTATCACTGCAGCGGCTTCCTCTCTGCCTCCAGCAGCAGTCTGTTCTCAGCAGAGCTGCCAGAAACCACCTCTTAAAGTAGGACCCTGGGGCTCCCATTCCATAAAAATGTAACTTCTTCCTACAGCTTACCAGCTATAAGCCCAGAGAAGAGTGGCAATGTCCGTCCTTCCTCACTCTGAGAATGCTGGCTTTCTTGCTGGGTCTTGAACACACTAATAAGCAGGCCCCCACCACTGGGGCTTTGCACTTGTTCCCTCTGCCGTCTATGACGCCAGGCATCTGCTTATCTTTGCTTGCTTTGCCTTGACTTCATTCAGGTCATGTTCCAATGTTAACTTTTTAGAAACATTCTTTCTGTTCATTCTACCTAAAACTAGAAGCACCTTTAATCACTCTCTTTTACCTTGCTTTATCATCCTGCTTTAACAATTGCCTGAAATAGTCACCTTTAAACAAATACTCATTAAAAAGAAACACTGACATTTCCCCCCTGGAACATAAATTATGTGCTCTGAAGGCAAGAATCTGCTCCCTCCTCTATCTGCAGGCACAGGTTAGGCTAGGCATTCAGTGAAACTCAAACAATGAGCAACTGTGAGGTCAGACACACGCTCCCAGTGATGACCAAACTGCCGCCGCTCCACTGACGCCCAGGTACACTAAACCTCACCGAGTCTATGAGGAACACTCTCCTCTTCCACATGTTCTTCTTCTTGCATTACCGACCTCTTTCTAGGTATGGAAGTACCGTTCTTGTTCTCTCAGCACATGCTAAGCATTCCCTGCATCCGATGGAGGGCCCATGAACAGGCCTTCCAGTTCAAGTTTTAAGTGGATTTAGCTAAGGGAGTTAGGTAAGAATGCTCCCCTGCCACCATGCAGTGAACTCTGCCCTCTAGGTGTGAGTGAAACCCCAGCATCTCTCACCTGAATAGGATGTATTACTCAAAACGCTAACACCTTACCCTGTACTTGTACTTGTATGGATGACTCTGGTAGCTCAGCAGGCTAACTAGCAAAGTCTTGCCAAGCATCACTGGCACGACAGCCCTGGACAACTTGCAGAGCAGACACAGGCCCGCAGGGATGGCTAACAGCCATCGTTCAAGGCACAGAGAACGTGGGGCCGTTGTTCTCAGTCAGCCCACACATCAAATTGCCTGGAGCCTGTCGCATGGGACTCATTTTTTACCTACACTGAGCTAATCATCCCTGTCTGCTGACCAGGTGGTCTTATTGCTCCCCAAAGCACACACATGTATGCATGTGTGCACACTGCACGTGCACACCTGGGCTGGGGGGATGGGAGAGAACGAGCAGAACCCCCCCCCAGCTACCTTTCAGAGCACTGGTTTTGTGATGGGGAAAGCACTGACCCAAGGGATTAAATCATCAGGACTGCGTGACTGTGGATGTCTGTGCGCTAACTTTCCCTGGTCTCTGAGGGTAGCTCTCTCTTCATAATGCTCTCTTCAAAAGCAGAACTAGTCCACGGTGAACAAGCCAGACACGAGTCTACAGGCACTTGTAGCAAAGAACCAATGTCTTACCAGAGTCACTATTGCACATTCAGCTGTTAGCTGCGCGGCACTGAAAAGAGTGCGAACAAATCTGTAAATAAATTTGTGTTCAGGGTCATGCTTAAAATATTCCTCCGGCACCTTTTCTCGCTGAAAGAAGAAGACATACGTTGTTAGTGTCCACTGAGGAAACTTCTTCAATAAATTTAAGACAGCAGTGTTCAAATGTGTGCCCACACGCCCCTTAACATAATTTTGTTAGAGTGATAAGTCTTTTTAGTCCTTTAAATAAAATTAGTGGAATCTTAAAATAGGGGTTCAGTATCTACCAACCCCCATTAAAGAAAAATACAGCTACAAAGCTTAGAAACTAATATTGTTCCTTGCCACTTCCCCCCAGCAGAATTCTATCCAAATGTAAAGTATTTTCAGGTTTACAAGTCTCAATGATCACCATGGATCATACTTCTCTGCAATGGACTTTCAATGAGTGTTTGGTTCCCAGTAACCGCACGGTGCTGTCCAGCACAGGAACCATACATGGCTACGATGATGGACTTGAAATGTGTCTAATGTAACAGAGGAAGTGAATGTACTTTAGGTACTTTTCACTGATTTAATTGGGAGGTTCCTAATTTTCTTCACAGAGATCTCGCAGAGCTGTGAGGCTCATTTCAAGCATTCTGTACAAGGAGGCTTCAAAAAAAATCATGAAAAATGCCATTGTCTTTTAGTTCCGTTTCTGCCCAAACTTTTTGAGGCCCCTTTGCATCTGATACTATGGAAACGTATCTTCTAAAACTATCCAGCTGCTGCCTGAACCTGGGGATTCAGCTGGGCTTCCTGGTTATACAGAGCGGTAGTTTCCACTGTGTGCTCCCTCTTACAGACATCCCACAAGGCAAGGTGGACAAAGTCTTACAGGACGATGGTTCTGGTTTCAAACTGGAAGACTGTTTTCTTCTAGTAATGCCAAAGCAGATCAGCTTGATACAGACACAACTTTATGAGTGAAAAGTAAAAACTCAATAAAGCTGACACTTACTGTGAGCGGATGTGATCTCTCATCAAAAATATCCAAGGATCTATTTGCATCTCTATAAAATAATAATGCACATTAAAAATGAATGAACTCAGGAGTTGTTAAAAATCTTAGTGAAACACCTGTTGGAGGGAGTGTTTAAATTCTTCCCCAGCACACGTGGAGTTTCCTGGCTTTTACCAACTCCACGCAAGTACTGTCAAAGTCCCAGAGACTCGCCAGAGCTGCCTTCAGAGTGAGCCTCCCTAACAAGCAGAACCCATCGCCCTGAGCCCTCTCCCCGCTGGCCTCCCTCTAGAGCACAACATGCTGTATTCCGAGGGGGGAACCTGGAGAGGGGTCCCGTCTCCCAGGGTTTCTTTCTTTAGCTCTCTGTATTTCTTCTCTTTTGTATACACCCCACATTGAGTTGATTCTAACTCACAGCGACCCTAAGGGACAGAGTAGAACTGCACCTGTGTTTCCAAGGCTATGAGATGTTTTTGTAAAATCATTTTATTGGAGGCTCACACAGCTCTCATCACAATCCATACATACATCCATGTGTCAAACACATTTGTACATTTGTTGCCATCATCATTTTCAAAACATTTTCTTTCTACTTGCGCCCTCGGTATCAGCTCCTCATTTTTCGCCCCCCTCCCTCCCTCAAGGCTGTCAATCTTGTGGGGGGCAGGATGCCATGTCTTTCTGCTAAGGAGCTGCTAGGGGGGTTACATTGCTGATCTTGAGGTTAGCAGCCCAACCCCTGTAATCCACCACACCAACAGGGCTCTTACAAGTGTGCTTAATACAACGGAATGATGGATTATTATAAGATTTGTAAGAGCCCTCAATAAAATTATTAATAAAAAATAAAATGAAGTTAAAAAAAAAGAAACACCAGTTCTTAGGCTGTTACAACAGGAGCCTTTGAGCTTATAACACTCCACACTAAAATCCGTTGCTCGTTCAAAACAATAGTTTTCAAAGCGGGGTCTGTTGACCCCCAGGATGCCCTCAACCTTTTCACAGGCGGCCCTGAGGTCAAAACGATTTTCATTATTTGCTCATTTCACCGCTTGATATTTGCACTGACTGTGGAAAGCTGGTCAAAATGTCCACTCCAGAACACAGTTGAGGCACTAGAGCCCAAGTACACTCAGTCCCCTGTCCTTCACTGCCCACACACCAGTTAACAAAGCCACACTCAATGCCATTAAGTAGAAGTCAACTCACAGTGACCCTACAGGACAGGGTAGAAATGCCTTTGTGAGCTTTCTAGGCTATAACTGTTAAAGGGAATAGAAAGCCTTGTCTTTCTCCTGAGGGGTGACTGGTGGCTTAGAACTGCTGACCTTGTGGACTGGAGACCAATGTGTAACCACTATACCACCATCATCATCATCATCATAGTAATAAATAACGTCAGTTTTGCTCCCTTGATGGGATGCTTAAGAAATAGCGTTATTTCTACTCCAGACCGATCTTTGTAATATCGGAAGTGGCTATCTGGAGATGACTCACACCCACTCCTGCACCTGATGTACAAGTGCTTGTGGGACAGATCTGAGCTCAGCCAGCAGACCTGTTCACAAAACGCCATTTCTATTAGAAAGTTTGACTGACAATCTGTCACTTCAAAGAAAACAATGAAGCATTTGTTGCCAATGATAAAATTCAAGCTTTCAAGCAAAAAAAAAAAAAAGGATTTTGGAAAACTTGACCTCTGCTGCGAGTGTGACCCCACAGTACTTATGGGACTTTTCTCATCGAATGAGTGGTGATACTAACAAAAGTGGGTCTGACACTAAAATGAAATATGAACTCATAGTTTCCAAATGACCAATGGATGCACATTTTAAAATAAGTACAGGTAAAAGATTTATTCAACATGCTAGACAAATCTAGGGATTTAACAGAATATTAAAAGTTTGTTGATGTAGTTTAAAACTCCACTATAACTAATATAAGAAATTACCATGTGTGGTACCAAAGAATATCCACAAACATCAGGCTTTTAAAATAGACCCTTTCCCAACTATACATATACACAAGGCTGGGCTTGCTCAGTTTCTTCAAAACGACAAACTGCAAAAGCTTGAAGGCAGGACAACCCACCCAGCTGTCTTCTCTCTGACACAGAAACCATTTCCAAACATGTCAATCCACGACACAATAGTCATTGACTTTGTTACAGGAAAAAGTCAATTTTCATTACAAAAGTATTCACAGAGAAGTTTTCCTCAACCTGCCTTTGGCCCTGCCCTCCAGGGAACACCTGGACTCTGTCGACAGGGCAGCGCCTACCCAAACGACGTTTTCCTGATGGGTCTGTCTGAGAGGTGGGGAAGACACTGACAGGCCAGGAATGCCTGTTAGCAGGCTTCACTGTGATTGCCATCGGTTGTATACAATGAGCCAGTTCGGAAGCAGGAAGAAGGATCTGACTACTAGCAAGAACGAGGAGTGGAGTGAACCTTCTGGACCCCGAGATCCCTGTTCAGTGAACTTCCTTGATCCAGGAAGACACCTTTGCCACCAGTGGAGTGACAGAGGAGCAGAACCAAGAACTAGAGCATAAAACAGAGCAAGTAAAAGGGGTGCTTTGGGACAGGAGGCTGGCTTGTGAAGTGGGGTGCCTCTTTCTGCAGAAAGGCTGTGATCATCATAGGAGCAGACCACCAAGGCTTTTCTTCTGCAGAAAGGTTGCGGGTTCTACGTGCTTAACCACCCTCAAAGGTGAGAACCATAGCACCCACGGGGCTCCTTGGGTAGAGGGCAAGGATGCTGCTCCACATCCTACAGTGCACAGGAGCCCAGTCTCCCACAACACAAAGGAACAACATTAACTTGGCAACTGCAGTGCCCAGGTTCAAACACCCTATGGTAACATGCAACACATTTTAAAAGTTTCTCAATTTTAATATCTCCAACAGTAAATATTCATCTACCCAACAGAAACACATGCTCTTTGGAATCCTCAATAACTCAAGAAAAGAATATTGAGATTAAAAATATGTATGATTCACTCTAATACTGTTAATACAAGTATTCCACAGCTTACTCAAATAATACCCACAAATATTACTTAGCATTGAAATGGTGTTATGCAAAGTAAACAGTAAGGATAACAAGAAGGTTTTAAAAGAGCTCACCTGTTCTTTATGTGGTAATATATTGCTAAGGTCACACTGTGGAGGGAAAAAAAAATTGTAACAACCAATTTTATCACTGTTTAGGCTTGAAGACATGACAATTAAAGAGGTGGGGAAGGCTTCTGTGGTTTTAAACTCTAATTCAGAAGATTCCCTGGTGGGTACTTTTTTTTGGTTAATTCTTTGCTTTGGGTCAAAAAAGCCCCATAGGGAAAACAAAGCACCAGGCCAGTGGCACCGAGTAGATTCCGAGGGAGTGATGCAGAGGGCTTCTTTCGGAGACAGTTCTCAGTGTGGGGAGAGCCTGGTCTTTCTCCCACAGGGGGCTCCTGGGTTTGAACAAGCCTAGCGAACAGCACCCCCAACGCTCCTTTTTAGACAGCATGGGGTGAGAAGCCAGTTTCTGTTGGACACTGTTGACAAATCATTACATATATCCCCTGCCATTGGCGCTTCTACCCTGAGACCTTTCCCTCCTGCTCAAGTAATATCTACTTGACACACGGTTAACTTATGTGGTTTTTATTTTTTTCTCCTTTTCAAAAGTTGATGGACATTGCATTTCAATTGATTTAGATCCCTAGTGACTTGTTTCACCTGTTTCCCACTATTTCCCTAAAAGTAAATATCCGTACTTAATGCCAGAGAATACCATTTAAAATCATCTTTGCATAATTACTAGTAGAAAGTTTATTAGCAAATGAATGCAAGGAAGGCTTATAACCATAAAATCAATGATGGGTCTAGCTAATCGTATCAAACCACTGCACTGCAGTATAACACTACTACACAGGATAATATACTGCTGTGAGTATTCCGAAACCATTGTCAATCAAACGGTAACGAACAGATACAGCTCCTTAGATACCCAACGGTCCTGCGGTCCGAAAGTACCCCCAGCTGTTGTGCACTAAAGAGCAAATGGGTTTCTCCTGGATAAGTTTCATGCTTCCATTTGTCACCAGTGTCTGAAATGAAGCTCAAAATAACTGAGGGAAGGCAAATCTGAATTTTAAAACTCAATCCGCAGAACACTAGCACTTAGAAAGTGAGCTGTCCCTTCTTTATAAATGTGCTTATGTTGTTTCAGAGACCTTTGTAATGAACAAGTAACATCAGTAGGCCCAAAGATGGATACTTCTACAGTGCTTCAGTGTCATCTCCAAAATAATTGTAAAATCACATAATTTGAAGTTGTATGCTGAAAAGGAGCATAGAATTTCGGATGCCACTTAATCCAACAAACTTTTACAAATAAGCATACTACGGCTTCAAACAGACTTGCCCAAGGCTCCATCAATGGTCAGAAACTGCTCTCTTTCTATCACTGGAATCAGCAGCAGAGCTTTTAAAGTAGACCCCCACCCCATCATTTATTTGATTTCTTGGCACTGGGTGTAGCTAGGACATCATGATTTCTTTTTAGTATCTCCCCAGGTGATTCCGGCATGCTGGCAAAGCTTCGGAACCACTGAGTTAAGGGTTAGGACCAGAATCACTTGGGATACTTCTGTCTATATAATTATGCCCCACATCTTCCCCAACCTACCAAAAGGTCTGTGAGGATGTATATGTGTGTGGGGTTGGGGGTGGGCTTCAGCTTGTTCGCAAAGAAAAGTTGCAAAAAACAGTTCTAACATGGTTCACCAACTCCACTTAAAACAATGAATTACTGACTCTACACCTCCTTATTACACTCAAGAATGTTCTCAATGATCATTTTAAAATATGATGACAGCAAACACTATACTTCCAAAAGCAGACTTCTAAAACGGAGGCTATTTGAACTAGAAATATAGAACCTATTGTTAGAAAAGTTACTCTTAAACAAACAAAAGAAAAACTATACTGAAATACCAGAATATTTTTAATTCAAAAGAAGCTGCAGATTTGAGTCTGCTTTACTCTCGGATTTAGAGCCTTAGCTAAATACGAACATTCAGGGATTACAGCTTACAGTTCAGGAATCAGCTTTTAAATAAGCACAATTTGATCTTTACTACTATTATCAGTAAGAAAAAGCATCATTATGGCTGTGAACTTGCTATTTTTAATTAAAATATAAACTTACTTTGTTTTTAATGTATCAGCTTTTAAAAAGCAAGTTTATAACCTACTTATATTTTCAGTGAAAAATGAAACTGGGGCTATTAATACTCTAGGGTAGTATTTACCACACTGTCTTCTGAAAACGAGTGTTCCCATGCCAAGGAGATGGTAATAATGTTTCCCGAAGAACACAGATGCAGTCAGGAGGATCTGTACCTTGTTTTTCATATATGCTTGAGAGATGAATCTTGGGATGTTTTGAAAATGCTTCTTGAATTGTTCCGGGCTATGAGGTCTCCCCAGAAATTTAAAAATAGTTTCCATCATCCTGAGACTATTAATGTTTGGTTAAGTATAAACCTGACCATATAGCTAGGTTCAATTTCTTTCCTTGTTCTCTGCTGAACAAATTTCATCATAAGGAAATTAAACCTAATAATTTGTTCTTGTTAGGCTGATTTGGAAGGAGAACTGAATTTTTATGTAGTAACACTGCAAAGCGGGGGGGGAAGCATAATGGATAAAGTCTGACAATGTCCAGTTAAATTTAAGTGCAGGTACACTTTGGTGCCAGCAGGGGACAAGCTGTCCCTTCTTCCAAGAGTAGCTTCCAAAGCAGTACAGCACAGCTTTAATGGTAACTCACAAATAACGAACTTCTCCCCCTGGAAATACCCAATAGAAGCACCTCCTTGTTCTTACTGTGTTCAGTCAATGGTTTGACAACATAGATCCATCAAAAAAGAGACGCACAATTTTCCTGAGCATCCTTAGTTGCTAACTTGGCTTCCCCATCTACCATGCATTCATTGCAGGATTGGGATGGGAATGGAAATTCATTCTCAGGTCCTAGAAATCAATATATACTTGACACCCAGTTCTTAAATATATCACTAATAGGGGAAACCAAATGTCTAAAATAATCAAGATAGCTTGGCTACTTTGAAAAGCACCGGGGCGGGAGGGGAGAGTCTGTCACTCAGCCTTGACAACCTAGTTATACTCACCATTTTATTGTGGTTCTAAGATTAGGTTGGCTGACTGTGCTGTCATCTAGAAATATTGTTGAGCATGAGCTATACTTTTTAGTAAGCTGCCCTGGAGATACCTGAAGGGGAAGGGGAATAGAAGAAAATGTCACAGTCAGTTAAACCTAGAACACTGTGTTTTTCCTCCCTTAGTTAAAATGTCAAAGATAAAGCATTACATAATTTCTTGCACTTCCTGAACTGCCTGCGTGTGTTAACAGGTGCAGCTGGCTCTCTAGGAAATCCAGTGAACAGTCTAGCTTCCACAGAAAGCAGTAGAGGAACGTGGCATACAACGTTATCCTTCCTGTGGTGCCCATAATGATCGCATCTGACAAGCTTCTATTACAAAATCTATCATTAATTATTTGGAGGGCAAAATTCTCCTTCAAAGCATTAAAAAAGAATCTATGCTCATACACTTCTTAAGCTCTTCAGTTAATGTGTAATTCACTTTTATAATTTCAAGAGCAAATACAGCACAAAAAATGAAAATGTAAAAAAGTTTACGAAGAAATTCCAGTGGTTTTTTTTCTTTTTAAGTAATGAAGAGCATTTGAGACTTTCTGCTATCGCTACCCTTATTTACTGCCGTACAATGTAATGCCTTAAGTAATATTGACAGGAGAGAACTTTATTGTAATGAATGAAAGCCAGAAACTAATAAATGTTCAGGAGACGGTGTGATGTCTGTAAGTCAGGCATTCTCTGTGCTAGGCCACCCTGCCATTAACAAGCTAGTAGGCCCAGAGGGCTCTCTGGGCCTCCGTTTTCTGATCTGGAGGACAAAGAGAATATTGCACTAGATTTTATGATTTCCAAAAACAAGATAAAAAGACAACCCTAGGAATCTAACTTTTGCTTCATGTTTACACAAAAGTGCCAGTATATTACTCAAGTGAAAGCTCCAGAGAATATTTTCCACTCATTTGAATGTTTTATTAATTTTATTCTACAAGTGATTTGACACATCAAGACAGTTTCTGCTCATGTTGCACACTCTCTGCCTGCAATGCCCTTTCTTCCTCCTGTCCCAGCAAGCTAGCCCCCATCTACCTCTGAGGACTTTTGCCAGCAATCAACTATACCACAAAATACAGGTCCTTTTACACAGCACGCCTCCAACGTAACACTTGCTACATGGCAGCATTTGCTTACAGGGTATCCCTCTCTCAGAGACAGGAAGCATCACCAGGTAGGGAAGAGAACTCTCCTCCTCCGGCCAGCTGCCAAGCACAGACGCGAATCTGGGGCACATTAAGCATTCAACAAGCACCTCCAACAAGCATGTAACAACCAACTTCTTAAAACTCAGTTACAATTTGGAAGTCAATCATATTACAGATTAGTGAGAATTTTCTTTCTCCAATGATATAGAAGTGGCAATGAACTTACAGAGCCCACTAGAGACATTAGCTTTAAAACACTTTAGAAGTATCCATTGATTTACCAAGAGTTCAAAAATAAATGTTAAATATTCTCATCTTTAAAATATGACCAATATCCACACCCCAGTTACTTTAAGTGTTTAAACACAGCAACAGCATAGCAATGACTTCTCATGGGTGTGTGTGTGTGTCTGTGTGTTTTAAATAATTCAGATGAGCCTTCCTTCTTCCTATTGATCCCATCCCATTTTACACACTGTCATACTCTCCCCTCGCAGGATTCCCAAGTACACAGAAGGCAGGGAGAAGAGCTAATGATGCTTTTTAAAGAAAAGAACATTTAAAAATTGTCAGTAGCAACAATCAAAAATATCTCTGTAGTATATAAAGTGTCATTTCCTTTGTTTCAAGATTTTTTTCTTCAAAGCCACCAATTTATTTGTTATTAGCAAAAAGTGCCAGAGCTTACTTTTTGAAAAGCATTACTATTTGGAAGACTAACCTCTACTTCATGCCAGAAAATCTGAAACTCTATCTCAACTCTGTTTCTTAAGCTATTTAGTTATTTAATGTATAGTCTTATAACTATTTATTGAAAGAAAATCCATTCGTTCAAGTATTTTATTCTAAGTGGAAGGGGGTGTCCTATAAGGTCACTACAGGGGATAAAACAGTATATACAACTGTGGGATTACAAAAATCAAGTTTGATCAAAAACCTACATCCAGGGGAATGGAAGGCAATGTCCCAAGATATAGACTCGTTACAGTTAGAAATTTAGGTGGTGTTTTCTTTCATTTTCTTGCACTAAATTTTTTTTCCTATTATGAAGTCATTATTGATTTATCCTTTAAAATATTAAAGCTAACACACTGAAAAACTTTAGATGTTGGTCACACAGCCCTAGGGGACTCAGAGGCATTTCAGTGACTTAGTCAGTCAGTCACTCACTTCAGGTCCATCGGGTAGGCACAGCCAAAGAAACACTAGCACACACCCGTCAGTTCCAGCCTACTCTAAATTCTGGCTTAAAACAGATCAGGGATTCAAGGGAAAGGGCTAGTTTTCTTTTTCTTTAAACAAATTACTCCCAAATTTAAAGGTGACCAGAAAATATGAATGCAGAAGCCTTCTGCTAGCTAATACATAAGCAGGGGACTTTTCTTTATCAAGAACACCCATGCATTCCTTGGACCCGAAGCTGGCAGAATGAAGTCACGGGGCCAGGAGGTAGTAGTGGTCATCAGATTACTTTCCCCTCAAATTACCCAAGAATTTAGGGCAACCGTCCTCTATGCTTGAAGCCTTAGCATTGCTGATTTACAACTTCAATAAACTATAATGGTAAACATTATGATATAAAAGGTAAACAATGAAAAATCAACTAGAAAAATACTACTGATAGAATGATATAAATCTTACTTCATTTACTCAGTACAAGGAATAGAGCAGATGGAATGCTACAGTCTTTACAAGAAGAAAGAGGGTATTTAGAAGACTTAAGACTTGATGGGAAGACTAGAACAATAATCATGCTTAATATGATTAGTAAGTCACAATCCCAGCCTTACTGTCAGAGGTCAGAAATTTGTTGTACCCTGCCCCACCTACAGGCTTTTCCCTGTGCTAAACGCCTCTGGTTGAGACTGAAGTTCACTTTTTCTCTCTCCCTTTTTTTAAAACAAGACAAGCTTTGGATATATATTAAGAATTGACTTTTAATTAACTTAAAATTTTCTAACACTTTATGCATTGAGACTATCTATTTGTAACACTACACTAGTAGAGCCATATGGAAGGATGTCTGGTTTGATTAGAATTCTTCAAGGCCTTCAAAGGAAACTGCATTTATAGGCTAAGTATATAGGTATAACTTTAAAAATTGTCTGCATTAGTATCGTCAATCATATTGAATCAAAGCCTTAAATTCAGATTTACACGTTAAAATATACATTTTATATTTGAATTTGGGCTAACCACCTATCTATCTTATCTCCTTCTTATACTCTTATTAGAATTAAAGTCAGGCAAAAAACAAAACCAAACTTCCTAAGACTAAAGGTCAGGAGAGAGGAGAAGCAGACAGGTGTCTGACAGATGAAGACTGGAGAAGAGGGTGGTGGAGACCCAGCCTGTCAGAGGAAGCACAACCTGGATGCCTAGAGGAGTGATGCTGGGGAGAAGAAACGAGCCTGTGTGTCTACCCAAAGTGGTCCAGAACTCTGAGGGCACAAGGGATTCCGGAAGACAGGGAGAACATGAAACAAAACACAAGAAGTTCTGCTGAAACCCCTGGCTAGTGGTGTAGGCCCACTGATTGCACCACATAGGGATTCAGATGTCTGCTCTGTGGAGATATTAAACTGCAAAGCTTTTGAGAGTATAGATGCTACACTTGGGACAAAAATGTGTAAAATAAAACACCTATACAACTCTGCTTCTGGAAAAGAAGCAGTTATGTTTGTCTGCCCCAGGCAGAAGAGTGGAAGATTCTTCTCTGAAAAAATGCGACTGCCTCCAAGGAAAGCCCCCAGCCACGGACATTATGGATCCCAAAGCTGGTTTGTTGCCCCCACAATTCCACTGAAGCCAACTGGCTAACAAATCTTGTTCACACGTGGTATTTCTAATTACAGATTTTTGCGCAAATAATGTGTGCCTTAAGTTAGTTTCCTATGTGCTCTATAAGCATTATGTAAGCATACACATTCCTATGTATATGTATATGTTATTAATGTGTGCAAATTATTCGCCCCCAAAAAGACAGATTTTAAGAGACAGCCAGGGACACAAAGACTTGAGGGAAGATTCCAGTGAGAGACCAAACCAATAGGAAAGCGGAATTAGATGGGAGTGATAAAATTCAGAAGCAAGAGAAAACATAAAACATTAAAAACCTTTTCTTAAACACACTCAGAATGATGCAAAATTTTATCAGTGAAAAAACCAAATGCTGTGAAACAGAACTGACAGAAGTAAACTCTTTACAGAGAACAAAACATATTCAATAGAAGGGTTGGAGCAAAAAGCTGAGGAAATATCTAGAAAGTAGGAGACGAAATAGAAAATAGAGAGGAAAAATAAAATAACATTGCAGAAGACTGTTCTATAGGGTTCAACATAAGAAGAACAAGTACCAGAAGGAAAAATTAGTATTATGCCAAAAATGGAGAATTATTTCATTATTACATAAGTGCCAAATCACTGAGAATTGTGGCAAAGTTGACCATCAACAAACCAAACCCATCTCCCTGCCATCCAATGAATGCCAACTCATAGCAACCGTCCCTGTGAGTTTCCAGACTGTAACGCATTATAAGAGTAGAAAGCCCCATCTTTCTCCTGTGGAGCTGCTAGTGGTTTCAATCTGTCAACCTTTTGGTTATCAGCCCAATGCATAACCACTGTGCCACCAGGGTTCCTTAACCATGAAAGTTACTGTTATTCTCACCGCATAGTCAGGTATACATTGTTAATACACAAAATTGTCGGGTTTTTGTATTATTGTCAAAAATGCCAAATGAGATAGTTGATAGGGGAGGAGTAAGTGCAATAAAGACAAAAGACAATAAAGAACTGTCTTAAAAAGTGAAAATTAATCTCAACCTAGAATTCTATAGTCTTTAATTTTATTTTTTTCAGTTAAGTTATATCTCTAAAAACTCTAAAAACTATGTAAACTTTCCAAGGAAAATGTGCTCTGATAAAATGAGGGTGCCTAACCAGATAGTTAAAGGAGCCCTGGCGGGATAGTGACTCCTTGCTGGGCCACTGAGAAGTTAACAGATCTAAACCACACGACTGGCCCTCAGAAGAAAGATGAAGCTTTCTACTCCCATAACGAGTTAGTCTCGGAAACCCATGAGGCAGTTCTACTCTGCCCTATAGAATCACCCTGGGTCAGAATCGACTCACTGACGGTGAGTTTGGATTCTTAACAAGACAGCTATAAGAAATCCCAGATGACTTCAAAGGGGCATCACAAGAAAACAGGCACAGAGCAAGCCTAAAGAAAACAACCAAACCAACCAACCCAGTCTCCATTAGAGCTGAATGACAGAAGGCTGGAGAAAGTTATCTTCAAGGGGAAAAAGAAACAGATGTATTTCAGCAGATGAAAACCACTTGATAGGCATCTGAAAACTATTACAGCATTGGGGGAGGGGCGGGGATAGCTGATAAAAAACAGGCAAGTCAAGAATAAAATTAGGAAATTAATTCTAAACACACAAAAATGAAGACTTGTATGTAAAAGCAGGGAGAGGTGCAGGAAGCTACTGCACTTGGCTGAGGGAGAATGCTTATGAAGAAAAGGGGGTTTATCCTGGAGAAAAGCTAAGTGCTCAGATTTCAGAAATATTTGAGCTAGAGGAATTGGCAGGACTTGCGGTGAAATAAATGAAGAGTTGCATAAGGAGGAAGCAAGAGTACCACTTGACTCAGCAGTGAACAATATTTGCCTAGTCCTGATAATGCAAATGCTAATGAATGAATTAATGGGGAACAAGTGATACAATATTTCCTGACACACAAGCTAGTTTCAAACAAATAAACAAGAAAATGTGAACAAGAGGAGGGAATGGGGGAAGGAAAGGTGGTCAAGGTGGAGTGAAGAAGCTAAGCTCATGCCTAAGTAAGTCCAGATTGCAAGGAAAACTGACTTAGCTTTATACTTGTGTTCTGCTGGTTCACACAAATTACAAACTTAAGGTAGATATTTATATTAAAATCATGTTATTGAAATTTATGTTAAAGCCCCTTAAAAAGAGGTGGTAATATTAAGCCCCAAACACTTCTGAATAAATTTGATAATTAGGAAAGTAGAAGAGCATTTTTTCTTAACTTTTCAACTGTTTACTTACATGGTTTAAATGGTTGCTCTTCCTCTTTTCTCGCACTAAGAATGAAAAAAAAGTAATGGATCAATTCTGATTCAATGCCACAGAAAATTAAAGTAGTAGCTAATTATTTGATAGATTATCTATGTGCAAAAACTGAGAGAAAATTTCCATTCTATATTTTCTTTTAAAAATGTCCAACAAAATTTATAAATTAAAATTTATAATTTATAAATTAAAATTTGAAAACTCAAGTTTTATTTTTTGAATTAACAGATATTCTATACTAGGTGCAAATGAAAGTTATCTCCACCTAGAAAAGGTAATATCCAGGTGGGATGTTAGCTAATTACAAGTTTACCTTGTTGCATACCAGAACCACTTCCCAATGGAATTTTCACATTCTACATTTACTCCCAGTTTATTCTTATAACCAGATCCAACAGATGACAGCTCAAAGAACCCATTTCTGGCAAGGGACTAATCTCTGGATGCATTAGAATCACTGAAAGCATCCTGAACCACTTATTGGTATTCTACTAAAATATTACATTACAGAAAAGATAAATGGGTCTTCTTCACCCAATCGGAAAGTAACGCAACCAATCTTATATTTGAAAACCAATGTGCAAACTGAATCAAACGTGATGTCTACAGCACACTATCAGTTGTTCTCCAGGAAAGGCCTGAGGAGGACTAGCAGATCTGAAGAAGGCTGTAGGCTCTGCCTCGATTCCCACGCTGATGCCTTTAATGGATGGCAAGCAGCCTGGTTGGCCTGCCCTCCTCACAGGGAGAGGGATGGGTAGCTTTTCCTTTACTGTTTCCTTCCTATAAATGTGAGAGAGCAACAGCACATGGTTCCCGAAGAAATACAACATCCTGTCCTTGACACAATGGATGTATGGACTGTTATAAGAGCTGTTAGAAGCCCCCAATAAAATGATTTATTAAGAAAAAAATTTGGCCTGGAAGAAATACAACATTCTAACTAGAAATGATTAGTTCAGAACAGGCCAAGAACACACGGGCTATCAAAACCCAGGTTAAAAAATGTCATTTTTTATTGCTGCAGTGCTTTTCATATGATTCTGGAATCTGCATTTCCCATTGTCTTCTGTCATAAAAGTAATCACCTGGAAAGGCAGTCATGCGTGGCACTTTAACAAACACACTAGGGCTGACCAGTAAGGGAAGCAGGGAAGGTTTTTAGATGTGTTGAATTGGGTTAGCTCACCTGGATTCTTATTGGAGGGCACAGGACATTTACACTAGTTTCACACACTGAGGCCAACCCTCTGGGGAAAATCAGAGTTGTTCAGACACGTGCTAGAAGTGACAGCACTGCGCGAGACACAGCCTTACATTAGGGTGACAGAGTTTGGACATCAAAAACGAGCTGAGCAGCAGAAATGCAGTTGTCAGCTAGGCTATTTTGATAAATATGCAAAATAAGACCACACTCACACATTCAATCCTCAATTATTATTTTTTAATTTGTTCAAATGAAAACCTAACTGCTATATAAATTTAGACATTCGCCCTTAAAACACGCAGTGTTGGGAACTAGGGGTAAAATGGGAAAGTAAGTATAAATGCATGACCACTACAAAATCAAGCAGTCAATGAACTGGTCCACAAAGAGCTGTGGCCAAACGTGTAAGCAGGAAGTCTGCTCTCATGAGAGCAGTGACCACTCAAAGAGCATGTTCCAATATGACACAGGAATATATGCAGCAGCGACAGTTCTGAACTGAGGAATGAGGTCTTCCAAATAAATACTGTCTATAACGCATGTCACAAAATGAAAACTGAGTTTCAACCTGTCCCCTCAAGGCAAAAAGAATGACATTGTCTTACCATCCGTCTGAGATTTGCTCAGGAAAATTGTGCTTGCCCGTGGATGGTCAGAAGGGTTTGATTCAAAAGCTAAATCTGTGCAGGAAGAAGAGGACAAGGTATGATCACTGAGTTGAATAATTAAAAAAACAACAACCCAAAAACATTTTTTTAAAGCTATCCACAATTTAATCTTTAACAGTCCTTGGGAATGTTTTAATAACAAATATGTAAGAAATAAAGGCAGTAATATGAAATTCAACTGGGAAGACACAAAACGTAATTTCTCTATGTGCGGAATACCATTGGGCTATTTCTTAGATTTAAAAAAAAAAAGACACCTAAAAGATGTAATGCAAGTTATAGATAAGCCACACATATTCAGAGCCTCCCGCATTCTATCAAATAGGAATGAGTACAGTCACCTTCTTTTAGACTGATATCTCTAGCATATTCCAGGCATAATATCTCAAGCAGCAAGTGATATCACTAATTAATGTCAGATAACAACTCAATATCAAATATGCTAATATCAAATAGGCAGTATTCTTTACAAATTCAAGTGGCTAACTCTAATTCCACACAAGAACTCATTTAGTTAGCTGTGAGTCTGGGTAGGGGGCTATTCATTGTGGGAGGGGAACTGGTGCTTCAGTGAGATTCCCGTTAATGCACCTCAATCACAGCCATTACACTATCTATGAAGGGGCTTCAAAACGTTTGTGGAAAAGATGGAGTTAAAAGGGAATGGAGCTTCTCCAGAGTTTTTTGAAGCCCCCTTGAGCCCCTGGCCACCAGGGTGTTGCCAAGCTGCTGAACAGGTTTCAGCACTGCTTCTAGGCAAAGAGAGACCAAGAAGAGAGTCTTGGAAACCTATTTCTAAAAACAACCAGCCAATGGAGCACAACAATCTCACTGTGCATGCGGTCACTATGAGCTGTGGACAGCAGCTGGCAACAATTCATCACAGCAGGTTTGGGAGGGCAGCAAAAAGGTTCCATGTTCTTATCTACAGGAACATAGCGATGGCAGATTTGTATGGTTTGCTCTCAGTTTTCAATACTCATCTCCTCTTGTTTTATGATTTCAGTAAGATCACAGTGTAGCATGTAAAAAACTCTGGCCCTCCCTTTGTACAGAAAGGTCTACCTGCAGTCCCCTTTGCACTTAAGTGGGAGGTTTCCACTGGGCAAAAATATAAAATCGGTTCTTGAATTTTAATAAAACATTTTAAACAAAATCATTATATGGATGGAAGAGTACAGTTATCATGAGACCAATCAAGCTGGTAATTCTCAGCAATGTCTGTCTCTAAACGAGAACCAGGACAACATCCATAGATAGTACAGGTTAAGGCAGTACTTCCCACCTCATATGTTCTATTTTTATTTGTAGGAACCTCAGTGGTCTGACTGAAATACAAAACACTATATCCCTGGTTCTCAGCAAATCACACACACGATGAAGTAGTAAAATCAAATCAGTCTAATACTACACACTGAACCAGAAACTCACATTCTAAACCAACTTTGTTCTTTATGAAAATCCTTGCACTCAATCTATCCGGGCATTTATTAAACTGCTTTAGAGGAACTCTTGTATTGTTCAGTATTTTTAAATACGAAACCCATCAGAAAATTATTCTTGAAGTTTTTTGCTCTCACATGAGACAATGAAAAACCAAATCAGTTGTGTGGAAACTTTCACAGTTCTGTCTCTAAAGTGTTTACAAGGATCATGACTCTTTCCTATCAAAATAACAAATCATAACATTTAATCTAAAAGAAAAAGCATAAAATATTTGTACAAATAGCTATATATTCTTTATCAGTGCCTATGACCTAATAAAGTTTAGATCAGAATATTTTAATGGAAGTTCAGGAAATCAAAGAGCCAGCTTAAAAAAAAACAGAAAAACACATTAAGATGTGCTACTGTGAATCGAAACACACAAAGAAGGCTAGGTAGTGACGACATGTAGTGTGTATGGGGAGGTCGGGGTGGGTAGCTTAAGTGACAATATAAGCTGGCACTTTCTCCCCTTAACCCAAGGTTCTAGGGTGGGCACATGGCCCCAGCATGGCCAATCACAGCTCCCAGTACACTGAGATCACCAGCTATTAAGGAGTCGTAGCTCTCAGGCTGCTGGAGGCCCCTCTGCCAGCACGAAGGACAAGCCTTTTCAGGAGAGGAGTGGGAACTGAGACAGGTTCTGATAAAATCATAGGGCTCTTGGGTTAACTAGGTCTAAGTGGCTGTGAACTCACTGGGAATAAAAGGCCTTTTTTTAATTTAAGCTACTTCAATATAAGATTTTCTTTAACTTGCAGCTGAATGAGATGATCAATTAGCAGTACTGATGTCAGCAGTCTGAACCCACCAGCTGCTCTGAGGATGAAAGATGTGGCAGTCGGCTCCTGTAAAGATTGCAGCCTTAGCAAGCCTGTGGGGCAGGTCGACTCCCAGCATCCCCTCAATGAGATGGGGTGGGGGTTTTTCTGACGCCCCGCTAAAGGTAAGGGATGGGTGAATGCCATTTGCTCATTCCTCTAACAAATACCTTATCAGAAGATATGTGTTACTAGAGCAGAAACTTTCAAGTGTCAAAATAATACCTTAAAATACTACCCATAATAAAACCTCTCAATTACTAGTCTTGCTTTTCCATAATTAAAAAAAAAGCCTTCTATCAGTATGCAATTCAAATCCAATGTCATTAATGACTAATGATCCTACTTCTTTGCAGCGTATTTATTGAGTGGATACATACTAAGCCATCAGAGTCCCCGAGTTAACAGTTAAGCGTTTGACAACTAACCAAGAGGTTGGCAAAGGTTGGCAGTTCAAATCAACTCAAAGACGTAGGTGAACCAACAGCCACAGAAACTCTGGGGTACACAGTTCTACTTGGAAACGCATGAGTTTTCTGTGGCTCAATGGCAACTGGACTGGTTGGTATAGGCCCATTGCTATTCCTACGCAGGTATGTGTCACTCTGTCCACAAAACATGCTGTGAAACAGAACATTATGGAATTTGGATGCTGAGTAAGCATGATATTAAAACCTCAGGAGCCTGCCTCTGGCTGGCTTCACTATCACTGAGGTGGCTTGCGGCTGCTGCCGCCAGGAAAGGCGGGAAGGGCCAGAGGCACGGGCTCCGCAGTGGAGGGGAACACAATGGAAAGGCGCCCGGCCTGCTGTTGGTCAGCCTGAGTAGCAGCAGCTGCACAGTTCAGAGGCAGCTTTGCTGTCACTACCACTGCTGCTGACAGAGCCCAAGAGGGGGGCACCCAGAAGCAGAGCCTCTGCTTCTCTTGTCCTGCCCACAGGACAGAGCGTTTGACAACTAACCAAGAGGTTGGCAGTTCAAATCAACTCAAAGACGTAGGTGAACCAACAGCCACAGAAACTCTGGGGTACACAGTTCTACTTGGAAACGCATGAGTTTTCTGTGGCTCAATGGCAACCACTGGGCAGTGGTTCTCAACCTTCCTAAAGCCACAACCCTTTAATACAGTTCCTCATGTTGTGGTGACCCCCCCCAACCATAAAATTATTTCTGTTGCTACTTCATAACTGCAATTGTGCTACTGTTATGAATCAGGTGACCCCTGTGAAAGGGGTCCCGACCCACAGGTTGAAAAACCACTGCCTTAGGGGATCTAGGCTTGGCAGGCCTGTACTTTATTTAGCCAGTCTCTATTGTTAGGGATGTAGGGACTTGCGAAGTTCTGCTTATACAAGATGAGGAAGATCTTCACATACACTGTTTTATTTTAAAAACTATCTTAATTTACTATCTTTTAAATCAAAAGGTAGATAGTTGTACAGGGAAAATATGCTGCTAAGACTTATTTAAAATGAAGAGGAAGGATTGATTGCACTTTGAGGACTAAGGTGTGCCTAACCTAAGACAGGATATTTTCAATCACCTCTCTGCATGTGAAAGCTAGACATTAAGTAATGAACTGATGGTTAGAAGTTATGATTAAAATTATATTTTACAAAGACCTATCAACTTTTTTGTCAAATTTATCATTTAATGTGATATGATTAAGTGATATAGGAAAAGTAAAACTAAAAAAATTATACTCAGGTTTTGATGTAAACATTCCTTGAAATTAGGAGAATCTATATAATGCAGTGACACAGAATGCTTTTCCCCTAAGGCAGCAGTTCTCAATCTGTGGGTCGAGACCCCTTTGGGGGTTGAACGACCCTTTCTCAGGGGTCACTTGATTCATAACAGTAGCAAAATTACAGTTATGAAGTAGCAACGAAAATAATTTTATGGTTGAGGGGATGACCACAACATGAGGGTCACGGCACTAGGAAGGTGGAGGACCACTGCTCTAAGCTTTCAGTAATGGCCAGATCCTCTCAATTGCAGCGATGTAAAAATACAAACAACTTCAAATAAATGAAAAGTGTTACTAAAGGCTCAAAATGTTCAAATTATACTATGTCAATCAAGGCCTTTTTCCTTGTCAAAATATTAGGAGGCCAATCACTGAGATTATATGAATTAGAAAATGCATACTGACTTCAATATATTCCAATAAAGAGAAGGTGTCAGCAGTTTCTGCCTGGCAACTGCTTACTAAAAGGCAGACTACATTTACTGAACTGCCCTATCATTCCTTGACTCTATATTATAGACATTTTGTAGCCTATATCACAAATATTTCCAGTCTTACAATTACCATGTACACTCTGGAGACTTTATCTCATTTCAGACTCCACACTTACACCCAACAAAATTCTGGAGTCTCCAGCTGGCCTCCCCAGAGGGCACACACCACCAGGCTGAGCAGGCTAAGATCCTGTACTCCACGGTCTCCTGGACAGCACCTTGCTTCTGCTTTCCTAGCCTTTGTCAATCTTCTGCGCTTTGACTTCCAAGCCTTCTGTACCTGCCCTTCCTATGTCTCAGTGTTGCCTTAATGTTTTAATCCTCATTCCACATTTCATTGACCAAAATGTGATATTTGAGTACAGTGAACCCTCGCCACTTCGCGCTTCGACTTCCGCGGCTTCACTCTATCGCGGTTTTTGCGTAACAGC